CTGAGAATGATGATGGGCTATTTTAATTGATAAATAATGAAGTGGCTGTAAGATGCATCATATGTGAGCGCTTTCCACTATCTGGCCTGTTTTCAAGCTTTTGCGTCTCGGTCTTAATAGAGGATTGAAGGAAATCTTTCAAAAATTCATTTTTGACCTTCAGCGGAGGGTCATTTTGTTTTTTTCACTCACATGACAGTTCCCCTCTGCACAAAGTCAGGCCCGTGAAGAAGTTGTCCACATTGGGTGCAAATGAAGGTCACATATTTCTGCCCTCAAATCTCCTCCAACACCTTGGGGATGAAGTGGCACAGGTTTGGAAGAGCCCGGTCCTTATCACACATGGTCAGCGCTCAACCCCACTAATGCAGGCAGCAAATCCCTGCAGCACTAAATCCTGTGGAAATCCTTGCCAGAAGAGAGGCTGTTTTATTGCATCATAGTTATACCCATTGTTATACATTCGATTTGTATCATTCAACATGTTTCTTCAGATCAACTCGCTTTTCACATTGTTATTGAGTTGTGCTTGAAGACTTTCATGTTTCGGCACATACATATTTTCTTTTAGACGCTGATGTTGCAGCACAGGTTACTGCAGCAGAGGCAAATCTCACGTGTGGGTCAAAAGCAACCACAGGAAAGGGTCAGATTGAGAAACAGGTTTGTTGCGCGGTAACGTAAAGGTTCCCCGCGGAGCCACGACCACCCCGCAGATGGGTCAGATCTCTATTTCAACAGTTTATAAATGGCCAAACTAGCAAAAACATGAAGAGGATGTTTCGGTTAGAAGCCATTCTGTTATCAGTGTGGGACAGATGTTAGTGTGCAGCACAAACACGGCTGCGAGGCTTTTCAGGTGATAGTTTATTCAGCCGCTCTGTGTGGCTTGGCTGAAGTAAACAGGAGGCTGTAAACAATTCAGCATGCATCATTCTGGGCAAAGACATTTTGTTTTAGGTATTCTTCAACAATTTTTTTTTTTTAGCAAGCCAGACAAACAGCCGGGAAAAGCCAACCCTTTCTAACTAAACATTTAAAAAAACACATATTTCCTCCTCTTGGTTGAAACAGTTTGTAACATGTGGTAAATGTAAATTGCCGGCAAACAGAAATGCAGCAAAATTACTTTGATATGTTTAGGAAACTGAAGTTCAGGTAACAAAATACTCGCTTTTGTTCAGGCAACTAAAGTTCTTGCTTCACCGGGGAAACAACAGTCCTGATTGTGCCTTGTTTTTTTTTCCCATCCACCACCTCAACATCTCATTCCAAACCTGTTTGGATATGGCAAAAAAAGCAAACGTGATCCAACACAAAATGCATGTCCTCCTGTGCGGTTTGGTGGTGAATCGGCTCTTATTCAGATGGCGAGGATCAGATAGAGGCAGACACAACAATCTTTTATCCAACGAGCATCTGACTCCGGGAAAAAGATCATTTGAGGATGCTACCCTGACGGCAAAACAGTGGTTTAATCCCTACAAGAAGGAAAACCCTTACAATTCATATGAACTTGCTCCATTGATATTACAAAATGTAGCTTAATGGGAATCTGAGCTCGCAGTGATTCAGCCCTCAGTTTGAACTTGTTCCCCTGTTAAGTCTGTTGTCAAAACCCCTGATATCGATATCATCAATATATTATTACGTTGTAAAGCTGCATAAATCGAGACATCACGACCTTAATCTGCAGTATTGGTCGAGTTACAAAACAATGTCTGGTTATGTAACTCCTAAATGCCCACACCTTTGGTTTGAGGTGCCAGTCCAGCCCAAGACCAGAGGCAAGTCAACCCTAATGACGTAATGTCGGTTAATCTGGAACAACTAGAGCCGCAGAATAGCCCATAGTACATCTCAGGAGGACTAGGTTTATTATAACTACTGTCCCCTGGAGGCAATTTGTTTGGGCTAATTTGATGATTTAAAAGTTAGATATTTGAGGACATTAGAGCAACAAAATGCCACGTAAACGCAATATGAGCACGAGTAGTCACATCACTAGGTAGCATTAGCTTACCCCCGTTACCAGAGTGATTCGGGTTGCCATGGTTACTGCACAGCCAGACCGCCGCCGGCCGCCATCTCTCGGAGGGGCGTCGGGTCTCAGCTCTCGTCAGCTTCTTTTTGGGGGGCGGTGGGGGAGAAGGGAGCGACGGGGGGCGTTTCTCGGAGCTTCTCTCTGCTCCGCGCGGTGGGTGAACATCGGCGCTCTGTGCTCGCGCGGAGGGCCACGCGGATCGTGGAGGGAAGTTGGGTTGCGATCGATCACCGATGAGCGGCCGGGTTCGGATCGGCGAAGTCCCTCCGCTGCGAGCCGGGAGGACTTTCCTTTATACGCCGAGGTAACGTGGAAGATAATTCATCATCTCGGTTTCCAGAGACGCTGAACACATTTTACTGGTGATTTTGTATTATTTACTTCAGAGTTTAACGTAAACACTTCAGTACTATCGTTTAACCTGCGTAATCGATTCATTCGTTGGCTTTTCCGTCTTGTTGGCGTGTCCCGTTCTTTTACTAACGGAACAGTATTCCTCTTTCGGCCGATTAAATACCGGTGATTACAGGATGAATTCGGCTTATTTAGATCATTTGTAGTAGACACCTAAAATAATGAATTACTGCTGCTAAGTAAAGTAGTTTCTTTCATTGATCTTGTGGATTTGCTGTTGAAGGGTTTTATATGTTGACATCTAGATGAAAATATTAGTGCAGAGACGTGCATAGACTGTGATTCAGAAAGAGGAATTATCTCTTTGGAAACCTATTTTATTCTTGGAGGAAAACCACATCTATCAGCCAAAGGCCTGCACCCGCAGGAGCTTTGTCTTTGCTGCCTTTTATGCAACAACAAACAACAACAACAACCTGCAAGCTACATTCTTTTCACTGTGTGCTATTTAATCTTGTTTACTTTAATGGCTACAAGGAGCCTGATTTTGTGCATGCATCTGGACTCTGGACTGCTCCTGTGTTGTCTTTGCAGTGTCTGGCTTGCAGGGACGCGCCCGTGAGTCCGATTCTTTAGTGACGCTGTAAGATTCACAGGGGGGGTGAACAGTGATTGCAACGTCCCCACCCTGCTCCGACCACACCAATCACCCCTCGGCCCTTTTCAAATGAAAACATTTTCACAGCAACCCAATGCAACAGCGCAGACACACAAATCAGAGAGACGTTGGCGCTGTGCCACGGAAAACAAAAACTTAATTGCCACTGTGTATGAAGTATGCACTTTGCTGGTGGACTCCCACCCTCTTTCTGTCTAGATTTCACCTCTGAGAGTAGACACTTGTAATGTCAACAATCCACTGCCCCCCCCCCTGCTTCTTATAGGCTGACCTCCCTGTGGGGTTATTCATGGCCGCTCTGTCGCCCCCGACAGAGGTGGTATTGTTCGAACACGCCGCCAACATCTGGACTTAGTGTGAATCAAAATGATTCCCTTGATGTGAAAACACTTCCAACATTTTGAAGATTAATTATTAATCTCGGGTCCCTCCTTGAGTTCTTGTGCAAATCACTTCACTAAAAGGCTGCTGTTGTGCTTCAGAACGGTTAGTACCAAGGTGTCAGGGTGTAAGCTTCGGCGCTGTTATACAACTCATGCGGTTAATCGGGTAAAGGGGCACTTTTGTCTCACTGTGTTTCTCTGTGCTATTCCAAGTTCCATGTTCCTCTGCTAATTGCAGACTTGCGGAGCCGCAAAGAGCACTTTCAGCTCAGCCGGCAACTCAAAAGAGAAGCAAGGATCCAGCTCAAGCGGTGACTCACCCTTAAAGGGTCTTATTAATTTACCTTTTCCACAGCGACAAGGTTTTTATGCGCCAACATAAAATAGTTTACCACCTGTGGTTGCCAATAATAATGGGGAACGTAATTTATACAAATCTAAAGTTGGACTCGCATTTACCTCCCTGGAGACGTCATTTTCTCATTCAACGTAACGTTACGTCTCTTCCAAAGCACGTGCGACAACTCCCTCTCGAATGCTTCTTGAATGAACCTTTGTGTATAGAATTGATCAGCGCCTGTGATGTTTCCGTTGACCCGAGAGGCTGCACCTCTTGTTGAACTCTACACAGCAATCTGCATTTTGAATGTATTCAAACACTCGGTCTCCGGAGACCTGAGGCCCAGCGAGCACTTTCCACGGTGTGTCCCTGCACGCCTTCCCTCGCACGAGAGGCCGGTCCGGCAGCATCTGTTTTCAGGGCGACTTGGATGTGGGGTGGAGGCAAGGGGTCAGCGAGGGGTCGGAGGCCTGTCACTCTTGATTTCTTCTCATCCGGCTTCAGAGCCTACCTAACTGCTTTTTAAACCCGGAGCTGTCTTTTTATTCAGCCAGATTTATCAGCGTGTCCTGTACAGTTTCCCTTGAAGCTGCTGTAACTGATTGTTTGGCCCCTAAAAAGGACTTGCTTTGCTAGTTTATTAAATTATGGTCAAGCGTTCATACATTATTTCAGCTCGAAGGGAAACGTCCAAGCTTACCATGTTATTATCACTCCTAGCTTTTTAAAGGTTATTCAAAGCTTCGTTCACCACTTGGCTTGAGGTTTGTGTTTGGTGGGTTACTTCAACTCAATCATATCTAATGGAGCTTTCCCAGATACTGGAAATGTCAAAATGAATGAATTGCAACTGCTGACCACTATTAAAACTATTCAATATAAACTTATCAGTACATAGCAGAGCAAATTCTATAAAAAAGTGAAATAAAATCATACTTTATTTCATTATTAAAGAAGGATCAGGTCCTGGGGCTTCGGTTACCCATTGTCTACAGCTCTGATGCGTTATTTTAATCAAAGCAGCTGCAGCCATGTTGGAATTACCTGCTTGTGTGAGCTTACTGCAGGCAGATGGGACATATGGCGCTCGCTGCCAGCCTCTTTTCGCCCCCCTTCACACTCCGGCTGCTGCAGCTTTGGCCCTGCTGCACGTTCACCCGGCTGCCGCTTAATTGATAGCAGCTCCTGTCTTTTTTTCAGGTGGGATGAGAGCAGCTCCATCAGCAGCGGGCTCAGCGACGGCGAAGGAGATGGCTCGGAGAACCTCAGTTCAGAGGAGTTCAACGTCAGCTCCTCCCTCAACTCCCTCCCGAGCACGCCGCTGGGATCCAGACGCAGCTCCTCTGTTATGGTGAGCCGAGACGCCGTATAACCTGGCGGTCCGTGACACCGTTAGGCTCCTTGATCTTTTCACTTTTAAGGCTCCACTCATGTGCTAAATGTGAGTCCTTTGTTTTGACAAGGCCACAAAAAAAAAAAGGCAGCAAAGACTCAATCAAACCAAAGAGCATCTCGGTACGTCACAGTGTAATAAATCTCAGCCGCAATGAAAGCCTCTTTTCACTGGAAAAACTGCTTGTTGTTCCTTCACTTGGATGTTTGACCTGCACTGTGCAGAATGAGGCGTGCGCAGCGCTACACACTAAAGGTCTGTGTTCGGCTCCACTGGACGGCGAAAGGTTTCTCTGCGCTCACCTTATCTTTAACACATGCATGTTAAGAGTTTATTTGTCAGGAAGGAAACGGGTCTGGGACGTTAACAAGGTAGATTTCGATTTTTTTCAGACACAAATGATTGCCCACCTCATCAAACTGGTTTTTGTTTTCATCTTCGATGAAGGGGATGGGATTTTTAGCTTTTACCCAGGTAGACATTTTGTCTTTTTGCTTACTTACAGAGCGCTCGCTTGGGAGAAATGAACGTTAGTGGTACTCAATGAGCCATCTGCCACTCTGTATTATACGAACAGGCTGCCAAAAAGCAGCATGCCCAATTTTATCCTCAGTGCCACCTCCTCAATGCACCACATGATCAAGTTTCTATTAAAGTATAGCTGTCTTCTTTTTTCCACTGTACAGTCTGTTATTATAAAGATGAAGATTTTCTCTTTATAACTCTAGTGTTGATTTTTCTCTGAAAGTATTCAATCCATATTCTTTCATTCGGAGTTTGTTTTCCGCCCTTTTCTCTTCCCCTTGCGGCTCTCTCTAATCTGCTCGGGGCAAATCACTCCGTCTCCCCCCGCTTCCCACTGGAATGAAGCTGAGATGAAACAAAGGTGACGGTTGCCCGCCCTGTGCCTCCCCCCCCTTCCTCCCTTCCCCTTCCCCTTCCCCTTCTCCGCAGCTCCGCACCGACGCAGAGAAGCGCTGCCTGGTGGAGAGCGGCCTTTCGTGGTACAGCGAGGACGGCAAAGCCGCCAACAAGCTCGACGGCTGCAGCTATGACACGGGGAGTCTCAAGGCCGAGGCCCCCCCGAGCAAGTGGAGGAAGAAGCCCCCGGGCCTCGGTGAAGAGTCCGCGTGTAAAGGGGAACCGAGGAAGCCTCAAAGCTTGGGTCATCCGGGTAGTTTCAAGAAGGGCCGCAACCCCCCCGTAGGAGTGACCTCCCCCATCACCCATACCTCTCAGAGCACGTTGAAAGTGGCGGGTGAGTGCTACAGTCTATGGGCACAATCGCTTTTCATTCGGCTGCTCTATTATCTACTATCCCTCCCAAAAATGAGGTGCTTCTCTGCTGCTTTCAACTTGCTTTAACTACTAAATCTATGTCGTCCATTATCTCCTTGTATGCTGTATCTAAATGTAAAACAGCCGGTTTTTGAAGCAGCCGAGGTCTGCTTGGTGTCTGCAGCGAGGCAGAAGTGGAGCGCCTCAGCGTGAGCCAGGTTTTTGATTTGTACCCCAGTATACTAAAGGAAAAATGCACCATTAGAGATTTGTCATTAAAAAAAGAACAGAGCAAAGTTCACGTTATTATCTCAGAGACGAGCCCCTTACTTACTCTGCACAGACGCTGTGTCTGCCGTCTGCAGCAACTGGATTTATTGAATCCCCAACAAACATGCCATGGTTGAAATTGAGTTGTAATGCAATTTACAGTCATCAGTACAGTGACTGTAACGTAGTGAGTCTAGTTTAATTCAGCAAAGGAATCCTTCAATTCAACTCAATCATAGGCAGATGCATTTTTAAAGTAGATTTAGATTTGAAGTTAAATACAAATATTTTCTTGCCATTCCAGCTGCAGTGGATGACATCGATTTACTTCTGTGTAAGATGTTGTATAATGGTCATTCATGTGGGATTCGTTTTGCTTTGTTTTCAAGTAGTAATGGTGGTAACAAGACAAATAGAGTAGTCTCCTCATCGTCATTTAACAAAAAAATATTTGTTTTATTCAACTATGTCTTTCTTTCTTTATCTAGCACCTAAAAGTGAGAAGCCAATGGATAAATCCAGGATTTCCCTCAAAACCGCTGGTCTGCAGCGCTCGCGTTCCGATGCCGGAAGGGACCATCACGGAGAGCACCGCAAGCCCCCGTCAGGATTAGTCAAACCCACAGCAGGAGCCTCCTTTGGCTACAAGAAGCCACCGTCAGCCACCGGCACCGCCGCCGTGATGACAGCAGGGGGCGCCGCCATCTCCAGTGGCTCCGCTACTGTGGGGAAAACCCCCAGGTCGTCTGGCATCCCCATGAAGCCCGTGGGAGGAGGGGGGGCGCCCTCGGGCCGAAAGAACAGCTTCGACGCCAGCAGCGAGCAGAGCTTCCTGGCGCCAAACGCCCGAAACAGCATCCAGTACCGCAGCCTGCCTCGGCCGGCCAAGTCCAGCACGCTCAGCGTGATCGGCCGCTCCGCGCCTCGGCCCGTCAGCGGCGTCATTGACCCCGGCCTGTTGACTCTGAAACCCGTGGCCATGTCCTCCACGGGCCCCAGGGCGAAAGAGCTCGGTAGCTGCGGCGGCAAGATGTCCAATCGAACAGGCGCAGGCCCAGTGAACATGACGGACCGGGAGAAGGAGAAGGAGAGAGCCAAGGCCAAGGCTGACCTAGACTGTGGTTCCTTGAAAAGAGAGACGCCGTCCACCGGGGAGGCCACTCTGAAGCTGCACGGCCTGAGACGGACCAGCAGCGGCAAATACCCGGAACTGTCCTCGCCCACCACACCAAGGTGTCTCATTTCAATATTACCTCCTGGGTATCAAACCACGGCGGTACGGCAACTGTGGTTTTATATGCCCCCGGATACACACAATGCAATGAGATTGATTTCACTTGTGGTGCTGACAGGATTTAGAACCATTAAAAAAGAAACTTAATCCACTGAGCTCATCAGTTTAGAATAATGGGAACAATGTTTCCTTGGATAGATTTTGCTCTTGAAATGTAAGGCAAGAAATCGAATCGAAGAATCAGACAAAACTCAAGACAATTTAAACTACAATTATCTACAAGGTTGGCGGTTGGGAAGTACAAATCATGCCCGTTCTTTTATTACAACATATCTTTATGCTCCATCCCTAGATTGCTGAACACTAAGTCCCTGGGTCGTCCCCCCAGCCTGGCTCACCTGGACAAGGTCAACTCCAACAGTTACGATTCGTGCGTGACCCTCCAGGACCTCCCGCCCAAAGTCCCCCCTTACTCCAAGCTGCAGGACTTGGCTGGTTCCCACACCTCGCCCCGCCTCACCCCGAGCCCGGCGCCCGTGCTCCACATCGATTCCCCCGGCTCCTACACCAGCGAAAGCCTGAGTCTCAGCGCGTCGCCCTTGCTCTACCCCAAGCTGTCCGGCATGCACCGCAGCATGGAGTCCCTGCCGCTCCAGATGAGCGTGCCTTCCAGTGCCAGGTTTGTCAGGACTGAGATGCATGACAAGGACGAGAGGGGCGCGGGAACCTGGGGAGCCGGCAGCAGGACGTCCCTCAACCTGACGGATAGGTGAGTTGTAGCCAACGTTGATGCGCCGAACGTGTATAGTCAAACAAAAAATACACTTTTCCAGATTCATATGAACCAATGCTGCATTAATCACTGCGTGTGATAGCGTTGGACATAAAATGTCCAGTTGGCAGTTTCACTGTGGAGACATCCAACTTTGAGTTATAATTTTATTGGCCGCAGTCACACCAGCCAACCATGTCTTTCCTTTCCCCGGAGCGGAAACTGTGAGGTATCATTTAAGATGGAGGGATGGCTCTGTTCAAAAATGTCTGTCTGTCAAGGCGGAGATGATCCGAATCATTTTCTACCTAACAAAAAATGACTTTTAAGCAATCCAACGCAGTGTGTATGTAAGTGCCTAATAGGCCATTTAGGGCAAGAGAGACAAAAAGGATTAAAAGAGAAACCTTTGAGATGTCTGTTTGTGTAGGAGAAATTTAAAATAATTATTCCCAATGACTGTTCAATCCCCATTATCAATGTTTTACTTTCTTTTTCACAGCTTGCAAACAGACAGAAATACCGTACCGAAGAAAGGCTTAGAGTACGTCACGACAATTACAGTCCTAGCATCTATTTAAAATCGCACACTAGTGACGTATTTTCGTTTTTTTTTAAGGTAAAAATGACTTTTTCTTTCGTCAGACGCTACAGCTCAAGCCTGTCAGAGAGTGACGGCAAACCGGGGCGACGCCACTCCCACAACATAGTGAGCATGGCTGAGAGCGATACCCCCCCCCAGCTGCCTTCTCCCACCCGCCCGCTCCTCCTCCCTTCCTCTGGCAAGGCCCCTCTCACCAACGTGGGTGAGTCTGCTCGCTCCATTTGGCTGCCAAGTTCTAAAAACACACCAGTCTTTGAAACTAATGAGACTTGACGTATCTGATAAGCCGGTCTGTGTAACGCTTCATTATTACTGAGGCCGGCGATATCACGTTTCCACTGAGAGGAATATCCAGCATGTAATTTAGAGTCATGAAAACGTTGTAGCAACTTGTCGATAATACATCAACGTCATCACGAGAAAGTGATTATCAAAATGATTATGGTGTCCGGATGGACATTGAATTAAATGTGAATATCAATGTCTCGAGAAAAGTCTGAAATATGCTGGAGATGGGAGGCGGTAGGGGGTCACGTCAGGCTATATTTATCTCCATGACTGTTGTGAAATCGTAGTGTTTCCTTTCACCGAGTCATCAGAATAGGCGTCCTGTACCTAGATGTGTGTGTGTGTGTGTGGGGGGGGGAGGTGGGGGGGGTGTAAGTTAGAGAGAAATGCATCCCACTTCCTTATCTGTGCCACTCACTGTCTTTCCAAACATCTCTCTCGCGTGATAGTTGCCCCAATTTCTACTGGCACCCCGAGGATATCGCGTTCCAACAACATCGGCCCCGCCCAGTGAGTCGGCCTGCGATCTCTACGGATCCTCCCCCCCTGGGCAGCAGTATGTCCCTGGGCCGACCGGCCAAAGAGCCTGATGCGCTGCGGGTCCTTCCGGGAACAGGGGATGATGTGAGCCTGCTCCGCGGGCCTCTACCCCCCCCCGCAGGGGAGTCGCCCAACGTAGCCTCAAACGAGACAAAGCTTTCCACTCATGCAGCACGCAATCTGTTCAGGAAGACGCCAGAACAATATTTGTTTCCACAAAAAAAAGAAAAAAGTGCAGTCTTTGTGCATTCATTTTAAATGAATGGTGCGTTATGTAAGGACTTAACGGCACTATCTGCTGCCCAAATGTAAACAGGTCCACCAGTGACTCGGACCTGCTTTCACTCTTATATAATTAGCAGACTTTTGAACAGACTTGAGCTCAAACTTGTTGTCCTTAATTAGCTCGTTTGAGATATTCCACTGTCTTAAGGATTGTGAGTAATAGAAATGATGTAAGCCTTAGTCTGTGATCTCAGACAGCAGGGGATAAGTAAATGGTTTATTTGGATGTTAAGTCAAATCCCTCCTCTGCCTGTTTCAGTGCATGGCTCCGTGCTCTCTTTGGTGTCCAATGCTTCATCCAACCATTCCTCGGTGAGTAGATGCCACCAACGGGCACAGTATATGTTGTTACTTCTGCTGGTGTTCTGTGCTTCTGTAAGCGAGGCCATCAGAGAGCTTGTAGAGAATCCCTTTCATTTCAGATATTTGTGGACACTTACTTCTCTTCTTTTTTTAGCATGCAGGAAATCCTTGCATGCATTAAACTGATCGTAAAGCGTTCCCTCTTTAGTTTGACAACCCCTTGCGTAACCTTGGACTAAGCTCCGGTACTTTGTCCACCTTTCCATTTCAGCATCACTGTCTCTACAAGAGTTCAGTGATGTCCCTTTCTTTGTGGATTAGTAGCTGTCATAGCTGCCCTCAAAGTTAACGCTGTCCCTTATCCCTCTTTGTTGTTCATGTGCTTTCACCATGCCTTCTTTAGAATGAGGAGAGGATACAAGGAGAGGTAAGGCCAACGTGCCTCGGCTCTTCAACCCGCATTGTGTCTTTTCTCTGCATCGTACGTCAGCCATTTCCATCCAGAGATCTCTTAACGCATGGCCTCATAACTCATGAACATGAAAACATTTTGTTTTATCTTTGATTTTCTTTATCATGTAGCACTACCTGCTAACATTCAGTAAAGACGTTCTCAGACCTCATGAGGACACGAGAAAAGTTCCCCTGTCATCCGTCGATTGAAGAATTTTTATTTTTGTTTAGCAGATGGAACGACACATTTGAACAAATCCAATTGCTGTATTTTCCTCAGTTTTTGGTCATTTTCTGTCCAAGGCATAAGACACTGTCCGTACTGCTGTGGCTTACTTTTCAATTTGTCCACAGCAAATCCGCAAGTTGAGGCGAGAGCTGGAGTCTTCCCAGGAAAAGGTTGCCGACTTGACCATGCAGCTCAGTGCCAACGTATGTATGATTTATCTGGAAAAAAAGAACAATGCAGATACCCTCACGGATTCTTTTCGCGCGATCACACCTCCGCTAAGTCACTGAGTTCGTACTGAAATACAGAAACCCCATTCAACACGCGTATCTATTATCAGCCCTGCATTTCCGTGAGGGTGAGATGAGGGAAAGATATGGTGTGAACGCTTGTTCACTTAAGAAAGGGGACATCGCTGTGAGTGATCCTAGATGCCGAGGGATAACTGGGCTGCCGGTAAGGGCATCATAACACATCTAGTATCTACCTGCCCAATGCTTGTTTTGTTTTATGATGGTATTTTGGAGCATTTACCGCCTTCATTGGATAGCTGATAGCGGGAGTATGACGGGGTAACGGAAAGCAGTGATGGTAAACCAAGAGAAAAGTCCCCAGCTGTGTCTCACGTTCATCGCCTAAAGCACCTTTAGTCTTACAGAAGGCATTCCACATGCTCAGTTCTCTCACTGCCACTCACATCTCTCCACTGTTGCTGCAATCCTTCAGTTCTGTTGTCTTGATGAAGCCGCCGCCTGCTTTTCCGCTTAGTGTCACCTATCAGCTTCGAGATGCTTGAGCCTGGCTGTTTCCGTCACGTTCGGCTTTTACTTTTAACACCACCACACCACTGATCCTGATCTAATAGACCACAGAACTACAGTCTTCTCTTGAAAACTTGACCCAACACCACTCAGCTAGCCTGAGGGTTTTACTGAGTGAGTGTATGCGGCCTACCTGTGTGCGAGTGTTTCTTTCTGAATATGTCTTCTCTGTTTAAGAAGTTTAACGCCACTGTCCCTCTCTTTTACGTTGTTGGACTTATTGACTGCTGGACTGCCGGCCGCCCTTTGACCCGCACCTTCGGATGCTGGGTGCAACAGCTGGGCCAGGTTTGTTGGACTGTTGCTTCCAGAGCGCTCTCTGACTCTTCTGCATGAACCCGAGCGGACGTCAAGCTGAGGAGTTGCAGTCGTTGACCTTATTGGAAGCATGTTGACATTTCACCAACTAATTTTCGCTTAAAAATTCTAACAGATGATCATTAAAAGGACTTTTCATTTTCCATCATTATTAAATTAACCAACAAATTGCTTTATTATTAAATAGGATCCTACTATAAGATTATCTGACCCCAAATTCAAACAAAACCTCACGTGGAATAGATCCCAATTTCCCAACGAGTTCAAACGTTGAGATTTGTAATCGGCCCGAACAGTATGAGACGTCTTAACCTAAAGGTCGAACATGCTACAGGAGGTTGACGACATTGGTCACGCCCCTGCCATCCCTCACCCCCAACAAGCTCATGTCCTCTTCCATCACTGACATCATCCACAGCTGTGCACTGCTCCATCCCCTCCCTCCTCTCCCAGCAGATGGGGAAAGCCATTTGCTTGACGTGCTGTGAGCGTTTGGCCGATTCGATGCAGCCGTATGACTCATACGTACCTCTTGTCTCGACCTCCCCTCTCTGTCTATCGCTCTCTCTCTCTCTCTCCCCCCTCCTCTGTGTCTTCCTCTAAAGGCTAATCTGGTAGCAGCGTTTGAACAGAGTTTGGCGCTGATGACGGCACGTCTGGAGACCCTGTCGGTCTGCTCGGATCAAAAGGTATTAGTCCCAACAGCTGTTAAACCCACTGAGACATTTGTGACGGTTTACATTTATTGATGTAAGAAGGAAAAGCAATTGTGTTCGTACATCCTTCACAAATACACGAAACCTTTGGTCCAATAATCATTCAACTGCTTTGTATTAGATTCACAGTTGTTCTGGCAACTTGCTTGCTTTTTTTCTAATGCAGAATTTCCACAATGCTCATAGTCACTCGACACATATTGTAGCTGAAAGCTTTATTCCAAATATTTAACTTTAGTCAGGTTAATCCCATTCACATTTTAAATCTCATTTACACAAGCACCAAAATAAAAAGAGATACAGTATATACTTAACAAACTAAACAGCAAACACAGCTTAAACATTTTCACAGAAAAGAGCCAGCAGAAAAACACCAAGTGCATCCATAATATGTTCCTTCTTCAGGACTCTGAGCTCACCGAGCTGAAGGATACCATCGAGGTCCTGAGGGTCAAAAACACAGAGGCCCAAGAAATCATTCACGGGGCCCTCGCCGCCCCGGAAATGGAACCTCCAGGTACAGAACATTTTGTGGATGTACAAAAAGCTCCAAACGCCAGCAAAGGGAGGAATTTCAAAAGCTTCCGTCTCACCAACGAACGTCTCTCTCTGTTTGTCCTGGTGTTCAGCACCGCAGATCAATCGGCAGAACTCGTCTGAAAGCATCTCCAGCCTCACCAGCAACACCAGCCACTCGAGTATGGGCAGCCTGAAGGAGCAGGAGGCCAAGAAGAAGAAGAAGAAGAGCTGGGTGAGAACACAGAGGCACAACTCTGTTGGGGGTGTCAGAGTTTTACCGCTCAACGTGTTTGTAGCTGATCGGGTAAACACAGAAAAGAACGGTTCTACCTGGACATTTGATGGTGGGGGACGATACGCCTGTTTATGAAAATAACACGCTCTTAGCTGCTAGCTAACGTGCACCATTAAGCTCAAAATGGCTGACTTTCTATTTGGTTTGGAAATATTTTTTTGTAGTTCATGAAGAACCTTTTTGACAGAGGTTCTTCGGGTTCTTTAAAGAACCAGAAAGGTTGTGGTTTGTGGGCACTAGTGGGTTCTTTAAACTGCTTCCTTAAATAACCCTGGTCTGGAAGGTTCTTACTGGAACCTAAAATGGTTCTTCTATGGCGTCACTCTGAAGAACCATTTCCCGATCAAGATGCACCTCATGAATGTCATTCATCAAACTTCAAACTTATTCAGCCTCAAAGGATCTTTGTCACATGTTCATACCGAACAATAAGGGCAATACATGTTGCTAAAAAGGCTTTTTTTAAATGAATAATACTAATTTAACATAAATAAATAATAAACCAAACATTTATACAATAACATAATGGGTTTTAGAAGTTCTACACATTTACATACATACATATATTATAGTGGATAAGGGAAAGATAGAAATGAATCAATCCCGGCTCTCGTTTTATTCCTGCATGTGTGTCTCTCTCGTCCTATCTGGTTCCAAGTCTGTTATTAAGTATGACTCTGGTCTCTCCCTCATGCTGCCCTGCTTTTTATTTTAGGTCTTTGAGGTGAGTGAGTGACAGTAAATATGAACCCATTCCCCTTCTCCAGCCTGCATGCACGCTATGAGTCATACTTGTGAAACCTTTGGAAACTCTTGTCTGCCTCTTTTTAAACTTAATAATCACTTGAATTTGATCATATTAAACTTTTTTTTTTATACAACATTACAGAATCATGGTTTGTGTACTTTATCTCAAAGCATAACTGATGGAGAGGACAACTCATAAATGCAGTTCACACCATTGTTTGTCAGTTGAATTACACTCTGCTGTAGATTTTCTATCGTTGATCTCCGCCACACGTCTCTTTCTTGTACAGTTACGCAGCTCCTTCAACAAGGCCTTCAGTAAGAAGGGCTCCAAGCAGTCTGGGCCGTATGCTGACATTGAGGAAATATCCACGCCAGAATCCTCTGCACCGTCCTCCCCTAAAGTCCACCACGTCGGGAACAACCGCCCACTGTCGATGAAGTCCTCGACCTCATCCTCCGGGTAAAGCTCCCCCTGGAATAATCTATTAAACGGTCCAACAGCACATAGGGATGCATTCGATGTCATTGTCGAAAAGTATGTTAATAATTCATATTTGGCAAATTATTAATATCATTATTATTTTAGTGTGAGAATGCTGCAGGAAAATCTTTTATTTTTCCATGCTGTCATTTCCATAATGCTGTCAGACATTTAACACACACCCGCAGTCTGAGGCTGTGGTTCATCTTTAACCGCAGCCTTCTGCAGCTGTATCCCTCATTTGTCTGACCAATTTCAAAAAATGTCTCTTAGACACAAACGCATGTGAAAACAGGATCTCTGGTTGAGAATAACCAAAGTTATTCTTTAATTCAACATGTGAAATATCCTCCTTGCCGCTTGCCTCACATCTCTGGCTTATTTGAACGGATGATCTGCAGACTGTGTGACGGACTGGAGGTGGGGGACGATAAGGTGGTAACAGAACTGCGCTCAGAGCTTTGGGAGAAGGAGCGCAAACTGACCGACGTGCGCCTGGAGGCTCTGAGCTCCGCCCATCAGCTGGAGCAGCTGCAGGACGCCATGACCAACATGCAGGTACGAGTGATATGTTTCCTTTGATGTTTGATGTTATTTTTCCCCTTCGGAAAAATGTCGTCCCTCTAAACTCGGCTTGCCTTCACTCTGCAAATATGTAGGTCAAAGAAAAGTTTGCGTAAGGAGTAGTTTTGTGCTGCTTTTTTTGTTGGTGATGTTAAATATCATTTTTCCACCACATACGCCCCTTTATATTCAGAAAAAAAATCCTTCCTACTGGAGTTGTGCTGTATAATGGAGGGATGGTTTAGAAAAAAAAGTCTCCTCCTCACTGCTGTGCCTTTTGTCGGTAGTCGACGGTGGAGAACCTGAAGGCCGAGAACGACCATCTGAAGATAGGCGGCCTGTCCCCGTGTCCGTCCCCTGGACCCTCCAGCTCCGCGTCCCAGTCCTCAGGCCTGACCGCTCTGGGAAGCTCATCGCCTCGGCAGTCCGTAGCGATGCCCAAGAGCTACAGCAGAGGGCCGAGTGAGGGGAGCAGCTCCGGTACGCTTCAGGCGCTGCAATGCTGACAATGTGTCAGAATGGTGTCACCAGTGTGAAAGACTTATAGTGCTCATAGCACTCGGATTAAATGTTACGGACACACAGGGGATTTATAATATATTGACTTTGATTAATGTGGTCGTGAACCTACAGCGAGAATAGCAAGTACGTAGATGTGAAGTTATCAGAGTGCTATTTTAGAAACACACTGGCCCACTAATTGTATTATACTTTATGTTCAAATGTCTAATACAAGCATTTTGATTTCATACTGTTACTCAGATGTAGTTTACATTTGAATAAAGAAGAGACACTTCTTGCCTTATAAATCAACTCATCTATCTACTGTCCATGTGCATCTACGAGCAATTTCACAATAAAAAAAATATATATTATTAATCTGCACTTTCTGTCAAGTTACGGAAATAAAATGTCAAATTATATTACTTAAAAAAGTGCACTCCTTGTGCTTGTAAGGTCAGGTACCCATTCTCCGTCGTCCTTCAGCTTGTTTTGTCTTCCCTTCACAGTTTACTAATTTTCACAAAAAATGACCAATATAAAAGCAATATCCTTGTAATATTACATATTTTTTCTTTAACTTGTGTCACCGATACTTTCTTTTTGTTTTCCTCTCCTCAGCAGACGTCTTCTTTGCCGACTCTCTCAGTCTTTCCTCCCAGAGGGACGAGCACCGTGTTCGGGTGGTGATTTGCGTCGCGGATTTACACGTCTTCAAAGACGTAAGCGCGTTTGACGTTCGTCACCTTGCCTCCTTCCGGCCGACTAAACGTGGTTATTCGAATCTACGTCACACGTCTCATCCGTTCGCCTCACTTTCACGTTGACAGGAGGTCAAACAGAAGGATTTCTTCGTCGGCACCGTCAGGGTGAACGGCAGGATGGACTGGCCCATGCTGGACTCTGCAGTCAGCCAAGCTTTCAAGGTGAGTCCCCTTCTTTTGACAACTTTCAACACTGCGAGGTGTCCTAGGACTGCATGTGCCGTCTGCGTCCAGCACGTCTCAGCTGTTAAATTAAATTTAGCACGCTGTCGCGTCCTCAACTGCCCACTGGTGGAAACTAAGATGCCTCTCACAAGCGTCGGGGTAGTTAGCTCGCTGTGAAACACAACGTAATCACCTCTCTTTTTTCCAGGTGTACATCGCCAAGGTGGACCCCACGTCAAGTCTGGGCCTGTCCACAGAGTCCATCTACAGCTACAGTATGGGCCACATCAAGAGAGTGCTGGGAGGAGAATCTCCGGAGACGCAGCCGTCTCGCTGCATGTCCCGAGGCCCCAGTAGCATCACAGTGGCCCTCAAAGGTCTGTGGAGAAATGTGGTGTGTGAAAGCTACACAGAGCAAGACACACAAGCGAAAAGATGGACAAAAGAAAGACACAAACATACTAGAAAAATAGATACAAGAGTGAAAGGTGAACACACAAAGAGTGAGAGGTTACAATCTTAGTGGAGGGGGAAAAAAAGCGGGGAGATGCGTAATGCTGATGGATGAGAGTATGAATCCAATTAGTCTTCTGCTAATGGTGTCTCGGCTGGAATCCAGAGGGCAGGAATTTAAATTCTAAGAGCGGGGGAGGCTGTCACATACGAGGACAGACGTTTATTTCTCTGCTGAGTGCCAACACTTTTGTTTGCTCTATTTATAGCGGCAACTAAATGGAAGGATGAAATAGTGACGACTTCAGAGATCTGTCAAAACCTGGAGTTTGGCCCTTTTTTTTAACTCCAGTTCAAGCAGAATTTGGGCTGATGAAATAAACATGCTAAAGTGTTTGGCCTGTTTGGAGTCGGTCCGGCTTCCATTTTCAAACGTCCCATCTTCTCCATTCGTGCACCACGAATCTTTTCATCAAAGCTTGTGTCCTCACACACGCGATACGTTTAGGGATACCTAATCAGGTTTCTCGTGTCAACCACATTAGCTGTTGTGAAGTGTATATCTGAGGAGTTTAACCGTCTAATCCAAGTCTCAGCTCGTTCTAAATCCTCATGCCTGTCGGTTTATCGCGCTGAATTGGAACTTTTCCGTCTCCATTGCTGTTTGGCTCCGATTTGGCTCATATTTCTTTTATTTGATCAAATTGTACTTACAGGCTTGACCTTCCCATCACTCGTACAGCTTTGCGTGACGTCTATATTTGTATTGTATTTCATACAGTTTCATGGTGGGCGTTGCACATATGCACAGCCCATCAGTGACTCTGAACCAGAGCTGTTAATGAGTAGTTGATGGACCTTTTGCAGGAAGGGAATGCAGGGAGCGAAGTAGAGCAACAGTCCTGACAGGACTCTGGGTAACATGATCCCAGCCCAGCAAAGCCCAGCTGGTCAACGGGCCTCAGACACATGGGCCTCTTGGATGCTAAGGCGGAGCGTTAGACTCCTTCGGGCTGGTGGAGGGCCGGGGGGGGGGGGGGGGGGGGGGGGGGGGGGGGGGGGCACACAGACTTGATGCAGTTATTTGAGAGCATAATGCTCAAACTCCATGTTGCTTTTAAAGGACATGCAAGGAGACGTGAATCTGTTTGCGCAACATCTGACCCAAGCTCCTCGGATTTCTATTGTAGAGTCTTTTTGGTTTCTACATTATCCTGATAAAAAAGTAAATGTAATGTCTCCACGGCAGCATGGAGACCGATAAGCCGGGCGGGTAGCTCTAAGTGCGACTAACCAGCAGTGCTGACAGATATTACCTTTGGGCAGCCAAAGCGTGGGCGCTAAATCTCTGCAACAATGCCGCCGGTCGGGACGTGTTGACCTTTGACAATCAATACAAATATCAAGAATCCCACTTGGGTTCATGCCCAATCAACACGGTCCGTTCTCTCTCGTCTGCACTGCGTTCAGGTTTGAAGGAGAAGTGTGTGGACAGCCTGGTATTCGAAACGCTCATTCCTAAACCCATGATGCAACACTACATCAGTTTGCTGCTCAAACACCGCCGGCTCATCCTGTCCGGACCGAGCGGAACGGGGAAGAGCTACCTCGCTTCCCGGCTGGCCGAGTACCTGGTGGACCGAAGCGCCCGCGAGGTCACCGACGGCATCGTGGTCACTTTCAACATGCACCGCCAGTCATGCAAGGTGACAGAAGGAGGACGACTCGTATGATGCGGTTCACCAGCGGGTTGTTCTGATCCCCCGTCATCCCCGTTTCTCTTTATTTTTCCCTTTTTTTTTCTCTCCACAGGATCTGCAGCTTTATCTTTCCAACCTGGCCAATCAAATCGATCGGGAAAGCAGCACGTCGGAAATACCGCTTGTCGTTATTCTGGATGATATTCACGGGCCTGCTTCCATCAGCGAACTGGTCAATGGTGCTCTCACGTGCAAATATCACAAATGGTAAGCTCCACGTGCACGGACCGAGTATTCATGTGATGGTTAACCTGACCGTAACTGTGAAATCGTTCTCGTTACTCAGTCCTTACATCATTGGGACGAGCAATCAGCCTGTGAAGATGATCGCGAACCACGGCCTCCATCTCAGCTTCAGGTTGGTCAAAGGAACGGTCGGGGAAGGACTGTCTTTAATGTTCTGGTTGATTGTGTCCTAATTATATTGAAGTTAGATTGGAAGCCCCTATGTGAAGAGATTATTCAACCAACTTGTTTCCCCACTGCTGAAAATAGTAAAAATCATACAGTTTTCCCCTTAAAAAGCAAAAACCCAAATAAATGGTTGGACTCAACAATCAAAATGACATTCAACCATATCAAATATATTACGACAGGCTGTTTTAGTGATGCTGTCACATTGATGAAGGGAGAGGATATAGCACACGAAATGGAACGAGACCAAATTAAGAACTTGCTGATGTATTTCAATATGATTTCTTACTTGTTCCTTTCACCGTTTTAGAATGGTGACCTTCTCCAACAATGTGGAGCCGGCCAACGGCTTCCTGGTGCGGTACCTGCACAGGAAGCTGATGGAGTCGGAGGACGAGAGAAGCCTGACCAACGAGGACCTGATCAGGGTGCTGGACTGGGTGCCCAAACTGTGGTATCATCTGCATGCCTTCCTGGAGAAGCACAGCACGTCGGACTTCCTCATCGGTATGAGACCCTCTCATATCAGGACGGGGCGTGACCTCGAGAAAGCTGCTTTTTTTTTCCATTTCGGATGGAATATTGAGAACTTTATTTGTGTGAATGTGCTCTTCCTTCCCCTCCTCAGGCCCCTGCTTTTTCCTGTCCTGTCCAGTCACGGTGGACGAGTTTCGATCGTGGTTCATTGACCTTTGGAACCACTCTATCATTCCTTACCTGCAAGAGGGGGCCAAGGACGGCATCAAGGTGACAAAACGCAGCCAACAAATCCAGTTCACGGTCTTTAGCTGTTACGAGGTTCTTCTTTAAGGACTGCTGCAGGTTTCCCCCTTTCCCAGGAAATATTGGGCTCTAATTTTACCGTCCTGGTATGTTGTGACACTTCAGGTCCACGGCCAGAAGGCGGTGTGGGAGGACCCGGTGGAGTGGGTGCGGGGCACCCTGCCCTGGCCTTCTGCCCAGCAGGACCAGGCAAAGCTGTTCCACTTGCCTCCCCCCAGCATTGGCTCCAGCAGCCCCGGTCAACTCTGCGATGAGAGGCCCCACAAGGAGACGCCACCCAGCTCCATGGATTCTGATCCTCTGGTGAGAAGGCCCGCTTTGTGAAAAACGGGACGGATCGTTGTGGGAAGGCCGATTTCTCAAACCTCTCTTCTTTGTTATAGATGGCGATGCTTTTGAAACTTCAAGAGGCTGCAAATTACATTGAATCCCCGGACAAAGAGGAGCCTGGCCTGCCTAATCTTTGAACACAAAGCTCACAACTAACAGTTAGCACTTCAACCTTCGTGTTTTGTGTCCGTTGTGATGATGCGGTACTCGTTCAGGAACAAGTTACCCAAAAAGAATTTAATATTTGGTGATTTCAACCTCACGTAGTAAGTTAGGAGTAAAACTAGATCATACATACGAACATGCAGTATTTCCAAAAAATCTGTATTTTCAAAAGACTATAATCTCTTACTTTACTATATATTTGACTGGATGACATTCACTCTGGTTCAGATTGTTTTACCACCACGTTGGCGATCACGGTCGTCTCAGATTGGTGCTAAAAGATCACAAAGAGTCGTCTCAGCACCTCAGACTTCAGGTGACTTCCACAGCACGCGTGCATCATGGGATATGGAGCGCTTACCAACATCAGCTGTTTTTGATGAACTCATTTTGGAAAAAAGTATGACAGCACTGCCGATGCTACTATTTATGGTTCTTTGGTACATATCTACTGTACACGTCTTTCAAGGCCACATCTTATACTTATGCAAGCCTGAACTTTACAACCCGAGCAGGTGAAACATAAAATGCCTTAAGAACAGACGTAAATGTCACCTCAACTTCAGCAGGGAATACTGGTGCTCTTATCACTATCCCCCCCAGCTGTGGCTGTCAGGAGTCAGTTATTTTTTCATTTCTCTGCATTATTTATTCAGATTCATAATCTTTTTTGTTTTTACAATATAAAAAAAATGCTATGATCAATTCTCAGTGTATTTTTTCACATAAGTCCTTGTTACGCTTAGTATGGTTTAATAAGTAAAAAAAGGTTTAACTTGCTGTCATACTCTTTTGCATAAAACAAAACCTATTTATTAGTGATGTGAGTTCATCACTCTGTTGCTGTACAGCTCCATATTTTACAAGTACTTTGTGTACTTTTATGAACTGCTTTATGTTCATCAAGTGTCACTAATGTTGCCGTATATATCAGGTATTAAAAACGTATTACACAGGGACAATAAAGCATAACAAACACCATCTAGACAGATCAAGCAGAGGCTATTTGAATCCTATTCAGATTTTTTTTCTACATATTTACCTAGGAAAGTGTAGCTTTCCCCCCAGATTCAGCGTAGCTACTGTATATATTATGTAAATGCAATCAGGCTACATCAGTTATTTCATCAATATTAGTTGGTGCAAATATCTAATATAATAAACCAAATACTGTACTTTAATCAAGCATATTGACATGTCATGTTAGAGGTTTAAGTTCAACAATGAATGTATAGAAGAACAACCATTTAACAGTACAAATCATTTAGTTGGTGCATTTAAAGAAGTCCTTGATCACAAAGCTCGGATGCATAACACTTTAAGTCTTACTTTAAAGCTATCTACTGTACGTACGCCCATTCTTATATACAACACTTCAGCAACAGACTAAAACAGAGAAAGGTCTCATTCTCATCCTTATTATCATCATTTAGGTGCTTCTGGTGCTCCGGTGCTGATTAAAGATCACATAGCCTTTCAGGTTAGAGTGTTGCGTCATACAGTAGAACCTTCTGAAGCTAAAGTAATGTGAACTGGATCTGGATGCTATTTTGCAGTGTAGTCATGTCAACCATTGGATGGGCCGTGATAACATACGGTAGTCATATTCCAGTACAAGACTCAACACTTTGGGTACAAGACTGTAACAACGTTTTCATGGAGAGAGGTTTGTTTTCCGAAGAATGATTAAAAAGCAAAAGATGTAAACACCTTTTTGTGTAGATTTTTGTAAAGACGGCCGAATGGAGTAAGTGGCATGTGGTCAAAAAAAACAACAATCTGTCCTTCCCAAACTGTGTCATTGTTTAGGTACTCAGACAACACGTCACATGTACATGAACCATGCAATGAATGTCACACCACTTTTTGTGATACGAAAGTCCAATTTGAAACGCCGAGCTGCTAGTTGCTTCGTTACTGCACTGTTTTCCTGAGGCTGACAACAACACTTCAAGCTTATCTGCAGCTCTGATTGGGCATCTGTTTACTACAACAACAACAACAACAAAAAAGAAGATTCAAAGACCTCGAAGAGCAAAAAGATTCCAAATGGCCTATGACTGTCACGCCGGTCACATGCCAACGGAGAATAACGTCAGTTATTGTAAATATTTCAGGTATTGGACTACCAACCCTGGTCTGTCTCTGCAGGTTAACTAAAGCCATCAGCTCGAGCTCCTCATCTCATTCACTGGTCGTCGTGCCTGTTGCTCTGTAGTAGCTGTGATTTGTGTTTGCTTACTAGTGAATCGGGACTATGCAGCAACTTCTACTGGTGTCGGCACGCATAAAATGCCTGATTGTCGTGAGCAAACGCAGCGTGTTTTCAACTGGTCTGTCTTCGACTTCTTGATTTGGCCTAAATTGCACTTACAGGACAAAAGTGTGTGTGCTTGTTTTTTTTTCGCAGGTGGTACTGAGCCTTGAAGAGAGGAGGCTTTGTTTGCCGTCGGGTTACAAACAGGGTTTATCGATGTTGTTAGAAAGACGACGTAGTGAGAAATGAAGCAGTTCGGAAGAATCAGCACGTCATCGGTGAACTCCACGTCGAATCGAAGCAGATAACGAGATTAAGCTGATCTCTTTAGGCCAATACAGGTTGCTGAATAGTCATATTTCTGAGAACCTTGTTGTGGACAATACTGAGATTTCAAAAAAATGTTATGCGGTATATAATGTCACTGACGTACAAATGTTAAGGGTTTCTAAGTGTTGTGAATGCATGTAAAATTGCTGTGTGACCAGACGGAAAAAAAAGGTTAACAATAGTGTATTGTTTAGGAAAATCATTCCAGATGATGTTTTCCTTTTTAATACTCAAAATATTTGATATTTCATTTCTGTCTTTTCTAAAGAAACCTTTGTAAAACTTAATTTCTCTATTTTGTACAGGACATCATTGTAAAGGTTGTAAATAGGTCAGCATTCTGGATGCGGCAACAATCATTAAGGAGGGGAAACCAAGAAATCATCCTTGACAGAAAAAGGATATTTCTTCAGAGTTGGGTCCAGTTTATGGATAAGGCATGTTTCTGAAGGCTTTCATCCACCTATCACTGGTTGTTGGAATCAATAAAATACATGTTATATTTATTCATGCGTCAGTTTTATATTTATATGTTATCTATGATAGATAGTTTTGAAATTACCATCTGCTTTAGGAATCATGAATACATAATATAATATTACTGAATATATGTTATACATTTGTATATATGGATTTAATATTTATGATAACGGAATGATAATTCAGAGATGCGCAGAAGAAGCGCGATGGAAATGTGAATCCATCTATATATATAATTTAATTAGGCCCTTGTTTTGGAGTAGTTAATGATGCTGGTGAGTGAGACAAACAGACATGGGGGTCTGACTCAGACCTGGTGCCCGGTGTCTGTTACATGGAATCCATTGGGGGGGGTGGGGGGGCGGCGCCTCGACCTGCTCGGCCCTATATAAAGCAGCTCCCTCCGCTGGAACGATGGCATTGGATCCAGTTTCAAGGGACTTCGTCGACGTTGGGAATTAGCTGCAACCGCCAACATGCCGTCCAAGCCTGCCCCGATCAAGAAGGCGGCAAAGAAAGAACCCGCCAAGAAGGAGGAGGCGGCGGCGGCGGCTCCGGAGCCGGCTGCCGCGGCCCCCGCCGAGCCCGAAGCTGCCCCCGCCGCGGCCGTGGCCGAGGCTGCACCTGCCGAGGTGGCCCCCGCGGAGGGAGAGGCCCCTGCTGCGCCGCCAGCCGAGGAAGCCAAACCAGATGGTAATGCCGCGAGTTACCGATTATTAAGCACACCTGCATTTTTTTTTTCCTCCAGCGGATGATACTTGGATTAGGTTTTTTAAGTTGTTCATGGTAAGCACGTGGTAACCTTTACGCACACCCGCGCCGTGCGTAAAGGTGCCTTTGGTGAGGAATAGTAGTCCCAGGGACACAACACGGAACATGCATTGTGACTGCATGAAACCGCGTGCTTGGACTCTCACGACCTGTTTGCTGCAAGCTTCTGGAAATCAAAAGCATGATTTTGAAATCAATCAAATCATCAAATCGTACCATTAAACCCACCCCCACATCGAACGTTAAGCAAGTTGTGAAGCATATGGTCAGTGTGTACTGGTTTAATGTGCGATAAATAACGCATATAAACAACATCTGTTTCATTTAGAAGTGTAATTACTCCCTCTAACATTTAAAATATTACATCTGCATCAGCTGCTCCCACTGATAAAGGTGGAATGATACCCAGAGAGGAGTCTCAGTTATTGCTTAGTCCCATTTTTTATTTAAATAGACTTAACCTCTTATATACACCATTTTGAAAATGTTGCGTGTTCAAAATGTTATGTGTCAAACCTTCTAACCTTTAATATCAACTTCTGCGCCTACAAAAGAACCTCCTGTTGCCTCCAGCCGAGGCCCCCCGCTGATGAGTATATTAACAGAGTATTAACATACATAATACATCGTGAACCTCCCACGCTCAAAGATGTACTCACTAATAGCAAATGCTAATATCTTCTAACCTCTTAACACCAGCCGCTGCCGAGGCCCCGCAGATGTTAAAACAGCAGTATCGAGTCCTCCATCCGTCTTCTGACACGAGTTTGCCTCGTGCTTCTTTTCACGCTTATATCCAATGCCGATGCCTCTGGACTGGCCACCTTGTATTTCAGTTTAATTCAATGTCAAACAGTCCCCCTCCTGCAGTAAAGATCACTTCACTAACCTGTAACGGTAACCTCTAACCTCTAGCCGCTGCCGGGCCCCCGCCGATGGTAAAGAAATCACATGAGCCATGTCAGAAACCTTCCTGAACCCGGTTCTTTGCCGCTCACGTTAAAGCTAACGACACTGAATGACACACACGCACACACACAGAAACTCACGTTATTGTCTGTCAGAACATGTCCCACCTGCTTAACGCACTAATAATTAATATCTAACGTTCAGTAACAGCTCCTGCCGCCACCGGGGATGGCGCTCCCGCTGCTGACTCTGAGGCACCTGCGGGTAAAACAGAACATGTTCCTGGTCTACTGACATCGGAGATGATTAAACAGCCTTTATGTCAGGATTTTAGAGCCGAGACGTACATAGCTGGATTGTATTTGATGCTGTGGCTCCGCTCTGCTCGTTATACGCTGCTAATAATTATGCAAATGCCTATTTGACGTCAGCTGAAGGCGCTGAAGCCGCCGAGGCGCCTGCGCCAGAAGAGCCTGCACCTCCACCGCCTCCACCCAAAGGTAAAGGTCTCTTCTGAACGGACACCGCTACTTGCATCACTTTTGTCTTCTTTTTCGTTTTTTTTTACTACACTGACAATAAAAAGATCTGCCCTCAACTGTTTTCTGATTGAAACGTTTCTTGTGGCGTCCGCAGAGCCCACGAGTGTCCCGCTGGATCTGTTTGTCCAGGATAAGAATGACACTTCGGTTTCTATCATTTGGAGCCAGCCGGAGGTCGTGGGAGCCTCCGGTCTTGACGGATACACCATTGAAGTGTGCAAGGATGGAAGTAAGCCCATGCACTGTGCAAAAGGAGTCAATTCTGTGTGTTCATCCGTACACCTCTATTAACTTTAATTACCCCTCCGCTGTTAAGTAGATGCAGCTCTTGCAATACGCCCAGCAGCGTGTGAAATTGCTGTTTTCCAGCAATGCGGGTCAGTCATATGGGTTGCAGCTGTCCCCCGAGTGTCAGTGCGTTATGTCACGAGCTACCCAACTTCTCCCTACAAGGAAGGAGGCATTTCTCCGCTGTGGTCCGGCTGGAGGTCCTGCTTTTAGACTCACTGCCCTAAGCTCGTTTCAGCAGTAGGAGCGACGGAGGCTCGGTTTAGCAGAGCTGGGCGAGCTGTGAACCCGCAGAACATCCATTCCACCGTCTAATTCTGCAATAATGCCCACGTGTGACAAACCCAATCACTGTTTCCTGCACGAGGCCTCGCAACGAGCCGTTGTAGTGTGTTCATTCAGTCTGCAGTCTTTATCGTCACAGGCCTCATCCTTCTTTATTTTGTTCATCTCTGTGTGATCTCCTGCAGCCGAGGACTGGAAGGCCGCCAACGAGGAGCTGCAGAAATCCTGCCGCTACATTATCAAGAACTTGACCACCGGCGAGCGCCTGAAGATCCGCGTGGTGGCCGTGAACGCCGGCGGCCGCAGCCCGCCCGCCGCCCTGCCGGAGGCCGTCCTGGTGAAGGAGGTCGCCGGTAGGAAGCCTTTAGGAATCCGTCCCAAACATCATCACCCGTTCACTCAATTGAGTATTTTCTGCACGAGAACTACTTGAGTTACCAGCTGGTTGGTGCACCACTTTGTTACAAAAAAAAAAAGCAGATTCAGCGTGGAACGTGAAGTGTCACAGCGGCTGAAAGATGCATCAAGTAGATGATACCTCAGCACCTCCTTTAAGCAGGAACACGAGGGAAACCGTGGCAGAGATGGTACACAGACCAAAATTAAGATAAACCAGAACATTTTAAAATATGTGCACAAATACACATGTGTCCGGATCTTAACCTCTGCATAGGAGCGTTTATTTAAAAATTGCAAACTAAATCCATCCGTAAAGTTAAATTCACATGGGAGAAGCTATTTGACTCATGTTTATTAGAACCATTTATTACAGGGGGGGGGGGTTGCAAAGTGCACAGGTCAAACTGAAGCAGCTTTCCCAGCTGTCCGTGTCCCGTTGGCACATACCTGCCGAGCCAACGCCGTCAAAGCGTGACCTCCTCGCGCTGGTCCACCTCACCGCAGCGCGATAACTACACGCCCGTTAAGTCGATGGGTTTTTACAGCGTTACGTGTGCGCCGTAAATGTAGAGTGATTCCTGCTAAAATGATGACTGCACCCCGAAGGCTTTATAAAAGAGGAGCCGCGTTACTCCGGCTCACTCGCAAATCATCGTTACGCCAAATGTGGGGGGCGAAGAGGGAGGCACGGCCACCCGATCCCGGCCCGGACCAGCAGTATTTCAATTGGTCCATGTTAACGGCCGTGTTTGCCATAGCGGGCGCTCCACCACATATAGAAACAACTCATGAATGGTTTCCAAAAAAACATTCCAGTGGGTTGTCGGGGTCGGCGGATTTGGAGCTTACCTCTCAGTTGACACCCAAATCTCATGACACCACCAGAGATTCAGTGTTTATTCTGAAACACGCCGCGGACTTCACAGGGAGAACGTCCATTGGGCCTCACGCGCTCCCAACGGAGTGATAAGACGCTTACCATGTTCTGGTAAATAGATGCACGTTCACTTTTTCCTTCCGCTTTCTCACACCGGATGAGTTTCTCCTACCTGCGTAATGTGTCTTTGATTTGGGCGCTTTGTGACGACAGCGGGAGTAACCGAAGCTCACGAGGGGAGGTGATATTCTGCAGGACGCTTTCTTTTTTTAGAGTCCTGACAAATGTCGCTGCTCTGCGCTCAGCAGGTGGTGCTTCCAACCACATCTTTTTCACCAATCACCCTTCGGCGAGGGGCTCGGGTATCATTTCAAACGTCACAGTTGCCAACCGTCTGTGTGATAGAAGGAAGCTTTAATGAGCCTCCGGGGTTTTAGCTTGCAATGTTATCACACTTCTTTAAATTGAAAGTGATTTAAAATCCCTGCATGCAGACACATCCCCTTCCTCGCCAATGCCCTGCGTTATCGCATCTCAATACAACCCAATGAGGCAATTGTGAGAGTCGGCTTACACAAAATTAATAAAGAATGGTTTAGAGTACCACTAACATTGCATTTCTGAGTTTGATTGAATGCTATTAAGGTATTATAACATAATATAACATGTGTGGACAAGCGTCTGAACGCACACACCTCCAGTCGTGCTTTCTATAGATTCCCACGCTTAAACACAATGTGCAGCTATTTAGCTTTAATGTAATCTACACAAAGCCCCACCAGGATCTGTGTCTGTAGACGGATATAAAGCGGCGGGATAAAGGACTTACTTTTACGAGCAGTTAAAGCGCGGACCCACCTTGGTGGCACCAGTGAGGACTCCCTGGCTCACACGGACTTAGTTCAGCCCGGCAGGCTTATGGATTTGCTTCAAGATTTGCGGGTTCACAAAAACA